ATTACTAAGCAGCTATGCAATCTTTTTAACAAGCTAAGTAACCTCCAATCCATTGGGTCATCATTTGAGACAAACTGTACTTCCTTACCTAAACAGGTAGGTTAAGAATGAGCACGGGCAGGCAAAAAAGCAATGGGACCAGGAGTGTCTTCTGACTTCCCCATTGACTTTCCTAGTAGAAAGCTGGCAGGGAGCTTTGGAAAGAACAATCACATGTGGCAGCCTGGTGGCACTAAATGGGTCACAACTTTGCCAAATTTCAATCCCATAGAAGTCATAGATCCCAAATTTTGGACATATTCCATAAATTAGCACATTTGAAGTACTTCAGTTCAAAAATTCTTGCCCTATGAGACACTATCCAACTGAAGGTTGCAAACAATGAGACATGGGAGTGTCAATAGTATATAGATTATAAGAAAGTTGGGATATATGATAATCTTTGTGAATTCAAAATAAATGATTAAATCTAAATGTTTAAATACAGGGATTAAAATAATTGCAAGAAGCATGTAAGCTGTTGATAACATGAACCTCAATACGGTAGGTCAATCCTTTCTTTTAGTTTTGTTATACTTTATTTTTAGCAGTAATCACTTTCCCCAAATAAGTAGTTGCTATACCAGTGGTTCTGCATCAGTGAAAATAAAGGGAAAATTGCTGTGAGCCAAAAAGCTATTAGCATACCCTAAAAGAAGCTACTGCAAGCCTCATCTGCTATTTCACAATAGCTTCCTTTTTTCCTGCCATGCCGTTTCCTTAATTAATACAATATTAGCTAATTAAATGAAACCATTGCCCAGACTCATCCAGGATACTAAGTAGGAGAGGAACCTTCCTCTTTTATTCATAATAGTACACACATGTTATCTCTCCCATTTTTTTACACAAGTAATTGCCACCATATTCAAAATCCCATTTTAATAATCAAGGTTAATTGGGATCTGTCTCTGAAGGTCCATGTGTTCTTAGAGTCATTTCAACATGCTTTAGCCACCGTAAGCTATTTGTAAGTATCTCAATCCAAAACCAATCTTAGACCCCTAACATACAAAACTTTGCTAAAACAGATCATCTAAGCTTGGAGGGAGCAGTGGGGAAGGGTTAACAGTAGTAAGAAGAAAACAAATCCAAGGCTGAGCATGGCTTAGAAAGTTGAGGCATAAAACTTGGTTAGAAATTTCACTGTCCTTTGAGATGCACACCTCAGCCTTTTCTTTTTATATTCATGACTTTGACTTTGCTCACTGTTTTATGCTGAACTAAGGAAAATGCTTTTCCATGCAGCATCCCCTGATGTCTGTCTCTAAAATGTTCAGAAGTAAGACATATGTTACAAAGAATTGTAGAAACTCAAGGATGTCAGTTTTATTTTTATTTTTTAATATACTTTATTAAGCTTTTATTACATTAAAAACATAAAAAATTATTTCACTCAACAACAGCTATTTGTGGTGTTTTTCTTGTGACGATAATTCATGCATTATTTAGAAAAATTAAATTGTGCATATTTACATTCTTATTTTATCTATTACTTATACTTAATAACTATCTATCTTTAATCTATCTCTGTTCTATCCAGTTATGCCACTGTTCCCAAGCATTGTAAAATATCGATGCCTCTTTATCTTTTAGACTTAGCATTAATTTGTCCATTTTTGTGCAATTCATGACCTTTTGTATGACCAGTTTTTCTGCGGGTGTGCATGGCTGTTTCCAACATTGAGCGTAGGCAATCCTGGCAGCGGTTGCTAAAAATTAAAGATTGGCTACAGGAAATTACTAATGAACAGTCAGTTTTATTTTAATTGTAAGACTTTTTTTTCCTGGTAAATGGTGACTTTTACCAATGGCAAAATCTCATTTTCTAATGCATGTTTTTGGGGTGGTATTTTCAATTGTATATTCAGCTTTTCAATTAAAGATAAAGTTTGTAATCTCACACCTTCAGCAGGCAAGAAAAGGATAAGGGATATCCAATAGTTTACCTTTCCTTTTTTCAGGAACTGACATCAGCAAGTCTTAGGAAGTCTTTGCTGTCTTAATAGTTTGAGAAAGAATCTGAACTGCAAGATTTGCTAATCCAGAGTTCTTACTGTGCTTCAGCACATTATTGATCATCTAATACTGATTGATATTCCACAACTCCCTGATGAACAATCCTCAGGTGGGCTCTTGGTGATCTTAAATTAGTATTTTGATATTTTAGATTTGTATTTTGAATAGGTATAGTATACCGTATTTTTCAGAGTATAAAACACACCTTTCCCCCCCCCAAAAAAGAGGGTGAAAATCTGGGTGTGTTTTATACTCTGAATGTAGCCCCGCCCAGCCTCCCAAATGGAGATTTCAGAGGCTGACAGAAGCCTCTGAAAGAAGCTTCAGAAAAAAAGCCTCAGGAAGGCTTTTATCTAAAATAATATGGCAAGCAACAAAAGAAGAATGAGTAAACGTTCTAACCAAACTATGCCAACAAATCTGGGGAATGACACAATAACCAAGAGATTGGAAGAGGTTAATCTACATACCAATACTAAAGAAAGGGGATTGAATAGAGTACAGATAGTCTTTCAGAAGAAAAGCCTCTGAAAGAAGCTGAAAAAAAAAAAAGCCTCCAAACAGGGCTTCAGAAAAAAAGCCTTTTTTTCTGAAGCTCTGTTTCGGAGGCTTTCAGAGGCAGAAAAAAAGTTTTTTCTGAAACAGAGTTTCAGAAGTTTGAGGCAGAAAAAAAAAGCAAGGCACAGAGCTCACAACTAACAAACCTGTTGCTAAAATTCACCACTGGGAACACTGGGGGTATTCCAGGAGGCCGATCTACCCACCAATCAGCTTTTTTCTTATTTTCCTCCCCAAAAACTAAGGTGCGTCTTATATTCCGGTGCGTTTTATATTCCAAAAAATACAGTATATAATATAAAGTCAGTAGCATTTAATTTCTATTCTCAAAAACTCATAATAAGTAAATTCATGATAACCTTTCCATTAACTTCTATTTATTTATTTATTTATTTATTTTTCATATTTGTATACCGCCCTACTCCCGAAGGACTCAGGGCGGTGAACAGCCATAATAAATACAAATACATATAGAAGTTAAAAACTATTAAGAAACAGATTAAGTAATTTAGGCTCAAAGATTAAAAACATCCAGATTTATCTAAAGAGGTTTAAAACCCAATTTAAAAGCCAGTTTAAAAGCCAATTAAAAAGGGAGAGTTAGGCCAGACCAGCTTGTTGGAATAGAAATGTTTTCAGGGCACGGCGGAATATGCGTAAATCTTGGATGTTTCGTAACTCCGGGGGAAGCCCGTTCCAGATGGTAGGTGCCCCCACAGAAAAGGCTCTCCCCCTGGGGGCCGTCAGTCGACATTGTTTGGCCGACGGCACCCTGAGGAGTCCCTCTCTATGGGAGCGAACTGGTCGGTGAGAGGCTATTGGTGGCAGGAGGCGGTCTCATAAGTCTCTATTAAACCAATCAATATTGTATAACCTGTTATAGTAATAGCAATAGCACTTACACTTATATACTACTCCACATTGCTTTTACAACACTCTCTGGGCAGTTTACAATGTCAGCATATTGTGCCCAACAATCTGGGCCCTCCTCATTTTATTGATTTTGGAAGGATAGAAGGCTGAGTCAACTTTGAGCCAGTCAGGATCAAACTGCTGACAATGAGCAGAGTTAGCCTGCAGTACTGCATTCTAACCATTGTGCCACCACACATAAGTGATATTCCACAGCATATTCCACCTTACACTATAATGATCCCTAGAAACTCTAAAGGGTTTTTTTTAAAGAGGCCAATACCTTTTTTATTTACATAGTTTATTTTTTTACTGGTACTTTTAGGCAACCCAGTAACAGAACCTGTGGTCAGACGAACGGTAAGTGGCTCAAAATACTGTATGGAGGAGGAGAGATGAAGGAGAGATGTATAAAGGCAGTCCTTTTAGAATAAATATCAAATCTTTATTACCATTATAGACCAGTATAAGGAGGGTGAGATACAAAAAAATTAAAAAGCATAAAAGTATATTAAAGTCTAATTTTTTTAAAAGCTAAAATATTGAAAGCATATAAAAACAAAAGACAAAAAAGAACATAAAGGGAGGGTAGGAATATAAAATGGATATAGGGGAACACGAAAGTTAGTACAGTACATGGCAAACTAAATTTATCACAGTACAGAGCACTTTCAAATAATGAACTATAAGTTAAAAGGGAATAAAAAAAAAAGAAATAGCAAAGTGTGGAATGAATTCTACTTGTCTTGCATTTTTAAACATTCGAATATTTTCTTTTTCATTTTAGATAGCTTATAATTTCCAGGGCATTATTTATCCCAATTGTGAGACACATAGGAGCATTCTGCTTCTGGGGAAAATTTTAAGAATTGCAGAATTGCTTCTTTCAAGGTCAGCCTTCACTTCAGCTGAATTTACTTTCATGTAAGTGAATTATCACAGCTAAAAGATATATTGGTCCTATTAAAACCAATTGGTTTGATAGTATGTAGTAAATGCTGTTCTGATTGTGGCACAGAGTATGTACAACTAATGGAAGAAGACTCACTTATGAGTCTGCTCGGTTTCCAAGCCCAGGATTGGGTTCTTTTTGGAATTGTAACTTAAGAAAATGAGGAAGTATCAATAACAGCACAACATAACTGTAAATGAGGATATGCACGTTCTAAATGTAGGCTCCTGTGAGTGATGGAAATATTGCTGGTGGATATCTTAGGTGAAAATATATTTCAATGTAATTACATATTCCCTAGATCAGAAATACTGTTTAGCTCACAAAACTCCACCTAACTCTTAAACATATTTGTCACAGTTTAAGTAAACTATAATTCTCCACATAGTATAGCTACATTAGGACTTGAGGGTTTACATAAACATACTCTGTATTTTCCATATAATTGTAACTATCCAACAGGATAAATATCCCAACAAACTTTCTGAATCCCATTAAAAGAAGGAAAATAAGGAAATACCTGGCTTGTCAGTGACTATGGTAGAATGAGACATAGGAAGGAGGAGAACTGCAAACCAAAGCCATCCTATGCAAGATCCAATAGCCTTCATCTCCTCTTGGACACATGTGAACAAATGACCAGAAATCTGAAAAGAAAACCAAACATGATTACAGACTCTCTAACCATGCATATCTGGACATCTGTTATGGATATATAGCTGAATCATATACAACATCAACGGTATAATTATGAATAGCCAAAGGGTTAGGAGTTTCCCTACTTTTTGAGTTATTATCTCATAGCTACTGGTTTTAGGAAGACAGGAGAGATGATTGGGCTAAAATGGGGAACAAATAAGAAGTGTGGATTTTTCAGCTATCTTTTCTGCTGCATGGCCTGCCCAAATGAAATTAATGAGGCAGATAGTGCTGACCATGATTTCAGCTTGATAGTCTATTATTAAATGGAGCATGGTAAAAAGAATAGCTTACTTGGTAACATCCATTCAACCAAACAAGTAAAATTAGTGCCGAATGTTTTCTTCTTTCTTTTCTTTTTTCTTTTTATAAATTAGGTGTTATTAAATTTTTCTAAAGCTAAAGATGTTTTTCTAAAAAAACATCTCAATCAAGGAACTTCTTCCTGTACCCACCCATCCTCATAATTTAAGATATACTGTAGTGAGTGATATAAAACCAGAATAATTATGAACAATCGGAATAAGCTTTTCACACGCACATTTATACAGGCTTTACTCATAAACACATCCAGCAACATATCCTAGAGAAAGAAAAGGTGTGTGTGAGCAATTACAAGATAGAATTCCCTGCTATGTACTAATTATCATAAAGATCTAAAAATGGAGATGAAATGTTTGTATATTAGCCAAGAACATCTTGATGATCAAAAATGTATCTTTTTTCTTAATTGCTAGAGCTAATCCTCAATCATTTTTCTGTGTGTGGAGGAATGGACAATCTCCAGTTTTTGAAAATTATGTTTTTGACTGTAACAGCTGTTCAGAAATCATTTGTTCTCAGCTTTGTAATTACATTATTTAGTTTTTGTTCATAAGGCTACTTTATTTTATTTTCTGGGAGAATTTTTTAAAATTTAGGTATGGAGTTATCAAATGAATATTATCAATGTTTTACATTTTTGTTACATTTTATCTGTTATAATTATAGAGTATTTTGTTAAGTTTGCTTATTGAAGTAACTCATGTCTGATAGCAGTACAGCTGAAATTAGCTTGCACTTTTTTACAGCATTATAAAATATTGTTAAGTGGAAACAAAGAAGAATCTATTTTAAACAATCTCTATCATCAGGGTGACAGTAACACTACAGAAAAAGCAATAATATAGTCATTGAATTTTACAGAGGGAATGATCTTTCTCGACTACTTTTAAAAGACTGATGAGTAATAAGTTTCAGACAGCTGCACAAAGATTACATATTTTGGTCAATAAGCCATTAAATTATTAGTAACAGCAGATTTACATTTTTATTTCAGAGTTTTTGCCTTTGTTATTTAAATTTAAGCAAAATACACTCACTATAGTAGAATGCTGAGCTAGTCATCATATTAGACTGGAATGTAGCTCTCCTATATTTAGATTTAAAGGGGTAAAAGAGGAGTAGGACAAACTTTTATTTTTCAAATTCAACAAAATTTAAGATTTGAAAATATTTTACAAATCATATTTGTTCTCTACACATAATTGTGACTTTTCAGAGTGTTATAATGAATAAAAAAACAACCCTGGTAATTTATTTATATATATATATATATATATATATTTGTTTTTCTTTCTTTTTCATAGGTTTTATGTGTATGTCTCTTTAGCCAGGTTCTACCTACGTAAACCAAGATGTTGTGCAACCCTAGTTCAGTGAACTCACAATTCACTAGTTTCTGGGCTTTTTTTTTTTTTTCCTTTTCTTCTGGCAGCCAGCAGACCCTTTGCTGCGCATATATATATAAATAATGAATATATATTCATTAATTTTATCTTTATGAAGGCAGGATTAATCTGATAATGAAAAACAATTAGCAACAGTAATTCAGAACAGAATACATTTGCTTTAATTTTGGAAACCACATAAACAAAAATTAAAAGCAGTGAAATCCAGAAAAATATCTTTTGTTTAATTTCCAGAGGAATAAACAGAGTTCTATCTATCTTTTTCAATTTATGGGTGCACAACTCACAACAAAATCAGACTCATCTATGTTTGAGAGGCTTGCACACCCCTTAATTTAAGGTGGCCCAGGCCTTGTTTTAAAATCTTTTACTTGAATGGCTGCCAAAAGATGGTCTAGACTAGTGCTGATAATATTACTTAGTTTGGAATGAAATGTCTGTAAGAAAACAACCAAGGTTAGAGAGCACCATTTCAACCTTAAACTACAAATATTCTCCTTTATTGTCTTTTGTGTTGGGCGTCCTGTTTTGGAGGTGACAAACCATTTTCTCCCTCTCTGGCAATGAAACACATTCATATCTGCCCAGACATCTGTGTATATCATATGCAGACTGGTGTTTCTACTAATCTGAAACTGACTCTCTCTCTTCATTCCTACCACAATTCATCTGCTTACAAGGTTTGCACAGGGATTCATCTGGAGGAAGCTAGCAACATTATTCTTCCCCAAGCTCCTGAAGGGTCTGATTGGAAGTTCTCATCCTCCAAAAAATACCATCCTTCTCCATGCCACAGCACAGTTAATTTATTCATTGCATTCTGATTCTTTATGCCCCAGTAAACTTCATTGCTTCTTTGAGTTTGTGTAAGCTTCTGCTCATGTTATCAGTGAAAGTATCTAGACCCTCAGTGTTTTGTCAGCCTCTTTTTCCATTGCCTACAAGTTTTCTATGGAACAGGATCTTTCCCAATGATTCTTATTATTGTATTATGAGTCCAGAGTATGTTAGCTTTTGCTTCATTATTTGAGTATGTATTCAGTTTTATTTCATCTAATACTGAATTATATGTTGTTCTTGGAACCCATAGCATTATCAATATTCTTTTCCAACACCGCATGTCAAAAGAATCAGTGTTTCTTCAACTTTCTGATGGTCCATTTATGGGAAAAACCATAGTGATCAGGGCTGTCAAACTCCTGGCCCATGGGCCGGATGCGTCATGTGCTGCCACGCCCACGCCCGGTTTAGCAAAGGGGGGAAAGTCCCGATATATCATGTGTGGCTGCCATGACGACATGAGTTTGCACCTCTGATAGTGATGATGGCTACCTCTTGCTTAATAAACAGATTTAGAAGCTTAATACACATCTATGAGAAACAGATGTTCTTTGATGTGTAGCTACAGAATCCAATTAATCCAGCCTTTTTTCTGCAGATAATTCTTGGTTGTTTTAAATTTAGGGGAAGAATTCATACAGAAAGAAAGAAAGAAAGAAAGTTAGAAAAAGGAAAAGCATTCTTCCATTCCAAATGAAACAGAAACTCTTTGCTTCCAGGGGAAAAAAAATTTACTTCTGTAGAAATAGATAAATATGTTCTAGCTAGCATTTGCCTTAGACTCTTTCTTTCTGCCAAGTCTCATAGTCCAATGTGTTTATCAGCCTTTTATTCATACTCCACATTCTGCATGAAGATATAGTAACATTTTCAGAATCTTCTTGGAGTCTGTATATTAACCTGGAATACCTTCCTGGAGTTTACTACAGAAATTCTTGATGTGTAGCAAACCACTAACTTCTTGTAGTCTGCTGTGAGCATTTATGTTTTTTTAAGCTGGTAGCATTTATTTCTTCCAAGACTGAAATCAGTGCTATATGAATCTCCAGATTTTAATTTCCTGTACTATTTTGCATCATATCCACCACTTTAGGTGTGAGACAAGATGTTTTAAGTCTTCCCTCAATTTGGATCTATGCATGAGAATATTAATATTTATTAATTAGGTGTATGTATGTTGTATTTCCTCTAGAAGTTCAAGATGATGTTCATGGCATGTCCTTCTTCAATTTTCTTCTATACAATCCTGTGAGGTAGGCTGGATTGGCCCAAAGCCATCCAAGGAGTGCCCATGACTAAGAGAGGGTTGTTTTTTTTTTTTTTTTGGTTTACTGATACTGGCAGGTCTGAAAAGAATGTTAAATGCATTGAGAAGGCGGAGTTCTATACAAACACCTGCCCTTAGATGTTCCAATGTTCTTTGCAGAACTGAAGGAGAAGAAAACAGGAGATTGGTTTCCACTTAATTCATAAGAAGCATCTCAACCACAATTATGATAAATGTCTCATAGTTTTCTGGGAAAAATTGTCTGCCAAGAGGTTCTTGTTTTAACTGTTTAAAAACAATGAGAATCGTGTTTAATGCATTTTGGTTACACTTTTTTCATTGTGCGCCGCTTTATTACTTTTTCTAGCCCAAAACACTTTTACATGTAATAATACAATATTTATACCACAACACAATGAAATTCAGGAATAACTGAGTGAGAAAAAGTGTAGGCTTAAATTCTTCACTGACCCTAGGGCAAAAGAATCTTGTACAGAACTCCACAAATCTATTAGCCTATGGCCATTTTGACACTTAAACTTCTAAGTGAAAGACATTAGATGAGTCAATACAGGTAGTCCTCAATGTATGACCACAATTGAGCCCAAAATTTCTGTTGCTAAGTGAAACATTTGTTAAGTCAATTTTACCCCATTTTATGAACTTTCTTGCCACAGTTGTTAAGTGAATCACTGCAGTTGTTAAGTTAGTAACATGGTTGGTAAATGAATCTGGTTCCCTCATTGACGTCGCTTGACAGAAGGTTACGAAAGGTGATTACATGACTCCAGGACACTGCAACTGTCATAAATATGAGTCAGTTGCCAAGTGGATGAGTTTTGATCACATGACCATGGGGATGTTGCAATGATTGTTAAGTGTGAAAATGGCCAGTACTGTTGTAACTTTGAATGGTCACTAAATGAAGTGTAACTCGAGGACTACCTGCATGGTGGAGAGCCTAGAACAGGTATCACTTAATCTGTGCAAGTGCAAAATGTATTTGCTGGTGACTCTCAAATGAGAGGAAAGCAACTCGATGTAGGCAAAGAGCTCTCCTTTAGCAAAGTTGTCACAATCATTTTTAAGCATAATAACTGCATATTCAGCAGCAACAACAACAACAAAAAAAGGCAGCAGAAAAGCAATCACCATGTCTGCAACCTGTTGAATTTCTACTTTAGATGGTTTTGATCTGTTAAAAACAGGGAAACTTTCACAGAGGAAAAAAAGTTGGTGATATTAGTTAGTCAATATAACTACTTGCCATGTGTCAGGGTGAAGATCAAGCACAAAAGACAGAATATAGTGCTATTTGAATGAACTCCTATTTTACATCCGTTCCCTTACCTGAGCAAGAATGTTCCGGTACATTCCCTTGACATGGGAATATGTTCCCTTTCCCTTGACATGGATCCCCTTACCAAGCTCCAGTAGTCAAGCTAGTGTTTCGTCTTCTGCCTTTTGCCTTCCTCTCTGAAAGCTCAGGCACCCATGACCAAAGTTGGATTGGAAAAATGGTCCATCCTCTTGCTCTAGGATTGGCACCTCTCTTGCAGCTGTGTAGAGGGGGGGGGAGGGTGCTGCCTATGTGCCTGACTACTTCCCCAAAGTCCCCAGGGAGGTCACACTCAGAAGACTAATAAGGAGATATAAGCAAGCTAGCAGCAGCCAATCCCAGATTGAATCATTTTAGATTGCTTGTGCAAGTGCTTATTTCCCTCGCGCCCTCAACTCATTTCTTGCAATTTAGTTGATCTGTGGAGTTTGGCTGGTCCATCTTCCCATTTAGGCCTGGCTGATACAGGTAGCAGATTAATATAGTAAGGAGGTTGCACAATATTGTGGGGACGGGACACGATGCTATATGGCCCTGATTCAAATGGCAAGGGGAAAGTCATGCATTTTAAAGGTCTTCCACGATTAAAATATTTATTTACAAACCATCAAGAGGATTCCAAAAAGGCAAGTTTCAACTCGCATGTATCACCTTACCACAGCTTTTACTATCTCATTTCATCAGAGGTATTCTGATCAGGCCTTAAACCTTGAAGTAACTCAATAAAAGTCTGCCACTGACGCTTTAGTAGCTGGTATAGTTATCATGCTTTCTTATTCTGATCTTTTAAAAACAGGCAGGTATAGAAACTTTTTGGGGAGGGGTTGATACCAGTGGTCATCAAGACAGGAATGTTTTTACCTCTTTAATAAGTATAATATATCTTGTCTTTAGTATTCTTAGAGTCACAAAGTACAGACGCTAAAAAGAAGCCAGCGTGTCTTCTTGTGACTACTTCCTTACTACCAAAGATGTTTCTATTTTAAGCCATTCACATCCTGATTAACACCACCCAACATCTTTTCTATTGGGAAACTGCATGCTTTCATCACAGTTCTCGTAAATCCACAATGTGAACATGTGGCCCAAACTGAGGACAATTTCAGTTACGCTCATATGTCAGAAAAGTGTGAACTCTGGGCTAATTTCAGCCACAGGCTAAGACAGTGGAGCAATTTTACAAGGAACCGATACAAATATGTAGGATAATTCACAGGTTTCTTTCTAGGCATCATGGGAAGCAGACAAAGCACAGCTTCAGGTCTTCATAAACATATGCTATTCTTAGGTAAACTCAGAAGAACTCATCCTTGAAAGAATTCTTTAATATTGAGGCAAAAAGCAACTTGCTATAGCTTCTGCCTCAGGAGGCCCTCTCCAAAGCTATGATTAAACTAGTAAGGGTGACTCTATGACTGCAGAAAAGAGCTAGGAGAAAAGAGAAAACTGCTTTCATGGACTTTGTACATTTTTAAAAATAGGTTTGTCCTCTATGAGTGGTAAACCAAGCATGCTGTGGAATAGCTGAAGTAGGACTCTTATACCTGACCAAGAAGAGATACACATCAGACCTACACTTATTGTGGTGTGAGGTATAGGATGAGAATGGCTGGATTATCTTTTCAGCATAGCAAAGTGAAATGAACAGTGGAAGTATAGTAAGGTTGTACTCTGAAATCTGCAAACGTCTTTACATTTTGTTCTTTACTAATAACAAAGAGAAAAGAAGCACAATCCAAATAAAGGGTAGCCTACTCAGAGCCTTCAGATTAGAATGGGTCATTTAAAATTCTTCCCCTTCATAGGAATGGTACTCTCTAACCTTTGCTGAAAGCAATGCCCTAGATACATTTGTGATTATGCATAACAGCAACACAATACAGCAGAATAGTAAAGACTTCAGAAATAGCATCAGTAGGGAAAGATACAATTTCGACTCAGAATAAAATCACAAGAGAAATGGAATGACTCCTTTAACTGAATACTAGAAATTCATTTACAAATAATGATGCACTTTACCCTCTTTGCTTAGCCTCAGAGAGATCGCTTTTCTTGATCCCAAATCTTCAAAATAGCACAGGAGACCGAGAGAGTTTGACCCAGTAAAAATGCAGAAACATTGTAGTTTCTCATGGGAAACACAACCCGTCAAAATTCCAGCATTCCTTTAAGCTATATCTTTATTCCACTAAGTGTCCTACCTACACAATACACATTTCAATATTGTGGTCCAGCTATGAAAAAGAGCAACAGCCACCTCAACACATATATACACACTTAAGAGCTGTTTACTTTAACATTCTAGAAAGTGAACGAAAACTCTCCATAGAATCCATTCTCGCTCTACCAGTTTGTATACATTAAGCCTTAGTTTTCAACTGTGTCCTGTGCTCTCAGAAAAGGCAACGCATTTTCAATCAAGGTTCTTGTGCAAACAAACGCCTGTTCTGCCATCGCAAAACTCGGCAAGCTGCATGACATAATCAGCATCAAAGAAGCAATCTATCTATCAGCAGGCAATCTATCACAAAATTCACCGAGAGCTCACTTAAATGCTGACAAAACTCAACAGCAGAGCAGACAGTACTGTGGGCTAGGCTTGGCATAAATCAGCTGGTCATAAAGAAGAGGCTCTTACCTTCAATTTTTATTTATTAAGTTTCCCCCAGAAGCAGAGCCAAGGCCAGTACAGAGCTGCTGAGGAGTTGCTGGAGTCTCTAAAGAAAGGGAGAAGGGGGATGCATCTCTGTCCTTATTAGTCTCACACAGTGTGACCCTCCCACTCAGCGGAGACTGAGAATCTAACTGTATGACAGGGCAGCCCTGAACTCCGGCACCAGTTTCTACAAAAGCCTATGCTAATAGCTTGCAAATCTGGTAATAATATTAAAAGAGTTAGGTTTGTGTCACAAACAGCCCTGCCTGGGTATGACTCCTGCCTGAAAGAAAGGGTGTCTGGTTTCACCACGCTGCCTCTGATGTCCCACACTTGATCCGGGCACAACAGCAGGGGAGTCTTCCCCCTCATGTTAAATGTAGCCACATCTTATCAGTTTGTCAGACTTGGTCATACCTTGCACATCAACTGACCAGAGGCAAGCTGCCCTTACTTACGGCACTGATGCGGCAGAGAAGCGGGGATGGCTGCTATCTGATTTGCTTTTGGGGAAGCTCATCATTGCAAGGCAGAGAGTTCGTACCCTGCAACATCGCTGACAGGAAGAAAATGGTGTGCTCCCTGTTAATTCCCCCTTGCATGTAGTATGCTAAAGTGTGCTTCCAGAGAATTCTCCTGACAATTTCTATAGTTGCCTTTTCTCATTTAAGTAAAAAGATAAAAGGAGAGTGAGAAAAATGAATTGATTGTAACACATACCTAAGGAGAAGGACAGGGTCTCAGCAGATATAATATATAACCATATATGGAATATTTCCCTTAAAAATTCTCCACTTCACTTTTACAATCTTGGCTATTTTATTTCCTGCTGCCCACAAACATCAGTTATCCTGAGTTACTGATTTTTGTGTGTATGTTTCATTCAGGGCAGAATTACATAATGTAAGTTGCACTACATGTCTACCTATGTAATTCGGAACAATTATCTTCTGTTTTCCTAATATTTATTTGTTTTTGAGTGCTCAGAGACTTTTGCCTACATTAGTTTGTATTCCTTACAATGGCCTCTAGGGCAATGAGGCTGAGAGAGAGGGACTTAGGGATTCATAGCGGAAGGAGTACTTCACAGCTCAGTTGCTTAACCATGACACTCTCTGAATTCTTATGGGCATAATATCTTACTCACAGCTAAAAGAAGGAATAAGACCAAACTAGACATGCTGCAAGAACACCATGTGCAAAGAGTTTATATACAGGTAGTCCTCGACTTACGACCACAACTGAGCCCAAAGACAGTTGTTAACTGAGTTTTGCCCTATTTTATGACCTTGTTAAGTGAATCACTGCAGTTATTAAGTTAGTAACATGGTTGTTAAATGAATCTGACTTCCCCGTTGACTTTGCTTGTCAGATGGTTTTTTTAAAAAATCACATGACCCTGCGAAACTGCAATCGTCATAAATATGAGTCAGTTGCCAAGAATCTGAATTTTGATCACATGACCATGGGGATGCAGCAATGGTCATTAAGTGTGAAAAAGTCGTAAGTCACTTTTTTCAGTGCTATTGTAACTTTGAACTGTCACTAAACGAATCATTGTAAGTCAAAGTCTATCTATCTGTGTATGTGTATGTACTCCTGACATATATGAAATGGTTTGACTAGGAAGCGGATTCTATTTACATAAACTGTAAATAGAATGCAAAGAAAAGAATCGGCTAAGTAGAAAGGGAGAACTTCACCCGGAACAGGACCAGAGGATGTCATGGCCATATATTCTTGTATCTCTGGTTTCTTTCTTTTGTTTTGTTTTCAAGAACTGGCTAGCGGGGTATACAAAAATACCCTTTTTTGCTTGAGATTCTAGCTTTCCCAATCTGATGCTTGTTTGCTAATGTAAAATACAGACTAACTTGGTGGAACTTTGATAAAATCAAAATTAAGCTGAGTTCATTAGGACTGTGATCACGACAGAAATGGTCTGCCACGAGCACTTCCTGAGATGTTTTTACAATTTCCCAGTGTAATCTACAAACTGGAATTCTTGAATGTCTTCCCACTCTTATTAACCAGGGTCAATCTGGTTTAGTTTCTGAGATCTGCTCAGATGGACTATATGTTGCCACCTGAAGAGGTGTTAGCATATATGACCCAGAGGTGGGTTTCAGCAGGTTCTGACCAGTTCTGGAGAACTGGTAGCAGAAATTTTGAGTAGTTCGGAGAACCGGTAGTAAAAATTCTGACTGGCCCCACCCCCATCTATTCTCTGCCTCCCAATTCCCAGTTGATCAGGAGGAAATGTGGATTTTGCAGTAACTTTCCCCTGAAGTGGGGTGGGAATGGAGATTTTACAGTATCCTTCCCCTGCCACACCCACCAAGCCACGCCTACCAAGCCATGCCACACCCACCAAGCCACACCCACAGAACTGGTAGTAAAAAAATTTGAAACCCACCACTGATATGACCCCCTTATTATTTTTAGTTTGCTCAGAAAGACAGAGAGTATTTTGGATGAAAATTTACTGCCAAAATAATAGAACATTCAAACTTACAGGAACATGAGATGGTCTCTTAGCCTTTTCTTTAAAAATGATTTCAACCTAATGGCTGTTATGGCACACTTTAGAATGGGATTGAAATTGTCCCTAAAAATAGTAACAAAGTATTATTTCCAGCCTGTAAAGACAAAAAAAAAGTTTAAAATATAAATTGCTTAATCGTGTCTCTCTCTAAATCTTGTATGTTCCCTACCAAAAAGAACAGTGAAAACCTCTCACATGCAAGATAAGTAAAGCAATTAAAACAAGAGAATGTAATAACCATGATTATGTGATTTCAAAAATACTAAAATGAAATAGGTACAGATAAATGAACGGAATGAGTTCATGTAACACTAAATTATAAAACATATCAAATCAATCTTTCAATCTTGACCACCACAGACATATCTAGTTTGACAATAACACCGTAACATTCAGAATATGTGCAAGTAAGATGTTATCCAGTAAATTTGGAGATACAAGAGTAAAGGTTTTTTTTAAATGTCAAGCCAATTTAAAAAGTGTGACCAAAAAGCCGTGAAGATTTATTGAAACTACTTTTACAGGTTAGCAATTAGAGGTACTGAATCTAGATTTATAAATGAAGAGTCATAATTTGTAGCTTGCATAAGAGTTATTTTGGCACGTAAACCATGGTTTAAGGCAGAGTGAGCAACTTTCTGGTAGCAGGAGACTGATCTTAACATTTGGGGGGCAGGGACAAGGGAGAAAGCTGATGTTCCATATGAACAGGTTTTTCTGATTTAGAAGAGAGATTTGTGTTGCAGGGGTATTCTTTGATCCTCCCCCAACTATATCAAATCTACTTTAAGACTTCTACTACACAATTTTCATGACCTGGCCTATTCTTAGTTAAATGTATTTAAGAGATGAGAGGGAATCTCCTCACCTTCCTCTCCAAAATGTAGTTTAGGTAGAAGTGAGAAGATTTAATCTCATGCATTTTTTAATAAATCTACTTTTTACTTCATAGACACTTCTGGAGGCCCCTAGGATGGCATATGTAACATCACTGTTATGTCAGCTGCATTGGTTGCCGGTTTGCTTCCAGCTCCAATTCAAGGTGTTAGTTTTTGCATTTAAAGCACTTCATGGCTTAAGCCAGTTGTCTGAGGCACCATCTTGCTCCAATGGGATTGGCTTGGCCCATCCTATTTGCACTGGCAGAAGAGGTGTTCCTCAAACTCCATCAGCTAACAAATTTTGCATAGCAAGGTTAATGAGAAGAGCCTTCTCTGTGAATGCCCCACCTGTGGAACAACTTGTCTTCTGAGGTGACATCTGCTTCCACCCTTCTGGTTGTCCCAAAGGTGCTTTTTCCAAAAGACAACTGGACTTCCTTGGTTTTTTTCCTTTGAGAATGTTTTGCTTCTCATCCAAGAAGCTTCTTCAGTTCAATTGTCAGAACTGTAGAAGCTTCTTGAATGAAAATCAAAATGTTTTCAAAGAAAAAACTAAGAAAGTCCAGATACCTTTTGGAAAAAGCACCTTTTTTTTTATTTTATTTGATTTATATGCCGCCCTTCTCCGGAGACTCAGGGCGGCTTACAATGCGTTAAGCAATAGCCTTCATTCTTTTGTATGTTTTATACAAAGTCAGCTTATTGCCCCCACAAACTGGGTCCTCATTTCACCTACCTTAGAAAGGATGGAAGGCTGAGTCAACCTTGAGCCTTGGAGAGATTCGAACCAGCAGAAATTGCAGGCAGCTGTGTTAATTACAGGGTGCACTAAACCCCTGTACTATCAAGACCTTTGGGACAACCATGATCTGGATGATTGAGAATCTCCATAAACATCCACCCTTCTGGCCTTAAAACATGGCTCTGTTGATTAGCATTGGAGTTAGCAATGGGACTGTGCTATGCTGGAGCTGGAATACAAAGACTTTTGAGATACAAAAGTCCACCACCAATACTGTCTGTTCTCTTGGTTTTAAACTTTTGTTATTAATCTTATTTTTACTGCTTTTAATGTGTTTACGCCTATTATTTTATACTACTGTAAATTGCCCAGTCATTCACGACAGTGAAATGGGCAGCATATAAATTTAATAAACAAATATCACCAATAGCTGAGCTAAGCTCATGCTCTGCCTCCAAGATGACTCTTAAGTATTTTATTCTTATTTTTAATGAGATATTCAGCAGCTAAATTGCTCAGTATTCTTTCAGCAACCTGAATACATCCTCTGACAAGAATTACTGCTGAATTCAAATCAACAGCAGTTGGCTGCTGGTAAACATGGATCAGAGAGGATGTTACATTTTCAGCTATTTGCTTCTCAAATGTCTTTGTAGCATGTTAAATTGTAAATAAAGATTTTCACTTAAGAAGCAGGTAGTAATAGCACTTAGACTTAAATATCCATAGTGCTTTACAGGACTCTGAGCTGTGTACAAAGTCAGCAAATTGCCCCCAACATAACTGAAAACATTTTAAAAAGAAAGAAAAAAGATATTATATCTCAGATGGAGGAAATGACAGAAGGGCTAAAAATATCACCTAGCTGAAATATCATAACAGGATCAAATGGACATCAACATTTAGAGCAAAAGCCCAAGAAGACAAATATAGGGAGAGATTTATCCCCAATTTTTCATCATGAGAACCAGCTGTGCATGGGTCTGATTGGCTAGCATTTCTGAGGTTGCCAATACATTGTTACCCCCAGTCATCAAAGCAGAATTTTAATCAAAAGAACATTTAGATCACAATAACAAAAAGGGTAGCTTAATGGTTTTAAAAATG